CGGCTCACCTTGCTCGTCCAGGAGGATGTTGTCCGGTTTGATGTCCCTGTGTGGAGAGATCATGACATCACGTCAGTTCACATGACATCAACAGCTCGACTTTATTTACACGTCACGTCCTCTCTGACTGCAGGCGGCGCTGACTGCATCTCGCAGCTGTGTGTGAGATCGTCATGTTTTGAAAGCTTCGGTGGCCTTCTTTTGTGTGAATGTTCAGTTCTCAGGGGGCCGTCACACGTTCGACACACTCACTAATTACAACAAGCGCGCACACACACACACACACACACACACACACACACACACACACTATTTAAGAACAAAGTCCCGTCCAGCTAATGCCGCATTCTGATTCCCTCGCAGCTAATTAACAGCGAGCCGCTCCCCTGCTGTCATGATGATGCTGAGAGCATGATGGGATTAATTCACACAGAGCTGTGACTGACACACACACACACACACACACACAAACAGAGCAGTAACGTGATTACAACACATCACATTCTTCAAGACTATCTACAGCATCCTTAAAGAGGAAACTCCATCATACAGAGACTCTTTCAGACTCTATGGCTGATTTGAATCTCTCTGAATCAATCGTGAGTGCTGTGCATCAATGCCAGTTTGTCAGGGTGTTGCTATGCTGTTGCTAAGGTGGTCTGAGTGTTTTTAAGCAGGTAACCAAGGTGTGGTTTTGAATGCAGTGCTATGAAATTGTAAGTTGTTGTGCGACTGCATAAGTTCTGTGTTTGAAATGTTGCTAGGGTGTTTCTAGGCTGTTCTGTTGGTTGCTAGACTGTTGCTATGGTGTTCTGAGTGTATTGTTTAGCAGGTTGGTTTCTAAGGTGTTCCAAGTGGTTTTGAGTGCATTGCTATTAATTTGGACTTGTTGTGCAGTTGTTCATGTGCTTGAAATGCTTTTAGAGTGTTGCTAGGGTGTTTCTAGGGAATTCTGTTGGTTGCTAGGCTGTTTTTAGTGTGTTGCTGTGGGATTGCTAGGTTATTCTGTGTCATTGCTAGGGTGTTTGTATGGTGTTATGGATGGCTGCTAGGTGGTTCGCCAAAAGGGTTCATCCCTACATCTTAAACAAACCAACAGCACCCCTAAAGACTCTGGATTTGAGGAATCACTGATATCTTGAGCACAAACACCAGTATCCCTGCAGCATGAGCTCTGAACTATCAGATGTTTCCAGATGCTCCGCTCACCCTCCTGATTTCAGGAATCCTCCACTCTGACTAATTTTACCTCGGTGGCAGCGTGACATGGCACACTGTTGCTAGGAAACACTTCTGCCCAACTTAGCGCAACTAAATAATACTATAGACAGGAAACACTCCTTCAGAAACATACAGCTAAATCCACCACAGAGAAAACAATGTGACTACCTAATACACACTCACAAACACACTCAGCCAAAGAGAGATTCAGTCCACTGCGTTCACTGTCAGTTCTGTTCTAGTGCATTTGTGACGGGGCCCAAAACAAGACAACCACACATTTTATTTGGCACAGGATTCTCGTCTCCCTGAGGAGCCCTGCAGAACTAAACACGCAATTACACAACAAATCCCTGCGAGCAGAGAGTACACACTCGCTCACTCACTCACTCACACACTCGCTCGCACGCTCGCTCACACGCTCGCACACTCTCACACTCTCACACACACACACACACACACACACACACACAGCTTTCTAAATAAGCACACATCATAGACTTCTATTGTTTTAGTATAAAGTGAATTATAAAGACTACTGACTAATAACCATTTCACCACTGAGGAAGTCTACACTAATAATAATACTAAAATAAAAATATAATACAATATATAAATAGTAATGTATAAAATTTTAAAAAAGACAAAAGAACTAAAATCATACTTACTTGAAATAAAATAAATGTTGACTGAAATGAAACAATGTGTGTGTGTGTATATATATATATATATATAATTAGTTCAGCTATTTCTCATTTTTATTTAGTTTAACTTGATGAACTAACATAACTAGAACTAAAACTGAAATAAAAATGAATAAAAACTATATAGACATTATACAATAATTATAATGAAAATGACAAAAACACAACATAATAAATAAAATATAACTGATTTTAAAATATTAATAATCAAATAATTAAAACAAAAATAAATTAAATATAATAGTAACGTATAAAAAAAGTGACAAAAGCACAACATTTTTTTTTAAATTAACAAATTAAAATTCAGACTAAACAATCAATGAAAAAGCTAATATAGCAAAATAAAACTCAATTAAATGTAAAATAAAAACTACATTATCAAATAATTATAAAACAACCAGCATATTTAATTAGACATGAATGAAAATGTAGCTCAAACAGCAGAGCACGGGGCTGATATGCAAACGGTTTAATTCCCATTGAATGCATGACCTGAAAAGTTGTATCGCTTGAATGCATTTTGCAAAGTTGCTCTGGATAAAAGCATCTGCCAAATGCATGAATGTAAAAGTAAAAGCTCATTTTCATTCATGTCTAAATTAAATATGCATGTATACTGGCTAAAGTCTATAGTGAAGGAAAGCAAACACACTCGCTGCTCAAACGTGTTGCTCTGTGAGTCGAGTGTGTGTTATTATAGAGTTAAACCGAGTGAAACACACTTGCTAGAGTGTTGCTGATGTTGTTAATGCTGACACACACCTGTGTATGATGTGCTGGCTCTGCAGGTAGTCGAGCGCCAGTGTCATCTCGCACAGGTAGAGTTTGACGGCATCCTCGGTGAACTGCACGTTCTGCTGCAGATGATAGCGCAGATCTCCTCCTAACAGCAGATCCACCACCATGAACATGTCCTCCTCGTCCTGGAACGAGTACCTGGAGCACAGGGTCACAGGTCAGAGGTCACAACAAACAGGAAGTGACATCACAGTGTTTTGAGCTGAAACTTCACAGACACATTCTGGGGACACCACAGACTTATATTACATATTGTAAAAAGGGGCCTAATATGTCACCTTTAACTTGCAAATCCCTCTCCTGATGAACTGGAGTCGTCTATGAGATCTATAGATGTGTGTGTGTGTGTGTGTGTGATGGTGGCTTCATCACAATTAAAGTCATAGAGATGATTTGATTTGGACATTTTAATTAAAGTGTCGTCACAGTCTATATCAGCTGTCAATCATCTGTATGCAGATGTTATTGTCAGTGCAGGATGTCCATCATGCTCTGAAGTTCACGCACTAATGCTGCTAATGAAAAAAATATGTTTCAAAACATTTTTAAAAAATTTTTTACTCTCATAGATTTTGTTACCATTGCCATTTATTATACGACAGATAGACTGCAACGGTTAAAGTTAAAAATCTCTGTTTGTGTTCTACTGAAGAAACAAAGTCACCTACATCTTGGATGCCCTTGGGGTAAGCAGATAAACATCACATTTTCATTTTTTGGGTGAACTATCCCTTTAACTGTAATAAAGTAAAAAAATATATAAAAAACATTCTCATTTTCATTTAGTTTGATGTACTAAAATAACTAAAATTGAAATACAAAATAATAAAAAATATTGACAATTAAAAAAAATAATATTAA